CACTCGCGCGCTGACGGTGCCCTGCCCAGGTGCCCCGCGGCGTCCGGGATTTACCGCCTGAAGGTCGCCCTTGGCCTGCCTGGGGCAGCGCGGAACCTGGACCGTCCGTCCCCAGAGCCCTGAGCGCAGCCACGGCAGGGCATGGGGCAGTTCCCGCTCCCGGGGGCTCCACTCCATTCTGGCAAACTTGGGGGCTGCGGCTGATTTCTGAATTGCTTTCTTGATACCTGGCACCCGCCACCCCATGCCTCCCCCAGTCTGTGGCCTGCTTCTTGCCTTCTTGCAGCCCAGCTGAACCAGGGCTTGGGGGAAGGCAACCCTGCTGTTGAGGGACTCCCCCGCCCCCGCTGCCACAGCAGCAAAGAGGTACCAGCCAGAGATGGCCCTTGCCCCCTTGCCTGCCAGCTGCTTCTTCCCCTGTGGAAAGCAGGTGGGCAGGGTGGCAGCCCAGGGAGCAAGCAGACTGGAGGGGACCTTCCAGGGAACCTTTGAGGTGAAGCTTCTGCCCAGGGAATCCGAGGCAGTTCTGGTCACCGAGTGCCCCCAGGCCCTGCCCTGGGACTTGGCAGCTGAAGGTCGTGCAGGTGGGCGTTGGGCACCATTCCTTCTCAGCTAATTGCAGCTGCCCAGGATTCATGTTCTCCCCGTGCCCATCTTCAGAGGGACTCCTTTACTCGGTGGGGTTCATATTGGTTGTACAGGCTCTCCAAGTTCCTCTCCAAGGATGAATGAATTGTCCAGCACTTGTGGACTATTGGAAGCGGGCCATATCACTGTGGTTGTAAATTGCCGAACTACGCCAGGTGGGTAACCTGGGTAGCAGAAGCCAAGCTGGCCAGGCCCTGTGCAGATTAGCTGCTGTCCAAATGTCATCTGCATCTGAGTCAGCCGAATCCTGAATCCTGGGTCAAATCAGACTGCTTGGGAATAATTTGGAATTGCAGCCTTGCAAATGGGGCTTAGTCAGCAAACAGTGGTGGCAAAGTAACTGGTGAGCAACATCGTGTTTGGGGTGAATCCCGTCACTGGAAAGCACGCTTTGATCATTTGGGGAGGGGGAAACAGGTCAGAAGCTGCCAGAAAGGCTTATGGGACATAGAAAAGCCAACCCGAGCCAGGGCTCCAGACAGGGAGGCTGAGCAGTGCTGCTTGAGGGGGGCTCCAGTGAGATAATGCCTTCTGGATTCTTTTTCTCGCAGCCAGCTAAGCTTTTGTGTATTTGGGCATTGTGAATTCTGCTGCGGTTAATTGCCTTGTTTGTTTGTTTAAGCCAAACGCCTGCTTGCCCTTCTAAGGGCCTTCTTGTGATCTGCCTGCTCCCTGCACGCCTGCCTGGAGGGTCAACTAATCTTGCACTCGGAATTCTCATGCTCAGATGTGTGTGTGTGCACAAATAATTCTAGAGGCTAGCTTAAAATGTGTGTGTAGAGCCAAACTAGAGGGTGCAGGTTGCTGGTTTGCAGGTAACATGGCCGTATCAGTAAGAGGCAGGCTAACGCCTTTCCCCTCCCTCCCCCCTCCCCCCCCAGAACGCCATTACTTCTGCCCTTTGAGCCCCCAGAAGGTGCCCAGGAATGAAAACAGCGGATGGCTTTCTGGCACTCGATCCAGAGCCACAGGCTGTCTGTCTAAGGAAGGACAGATGCCTCTGCCAGGAGAAGGGAAAAGGGAGGCATCAGACGGGGGCAAACTTCTTCTTGCTTTCCCCAACAAGGGGCGCCTGGGCCAAGCCTGCACCCCAGAAAGCTGCAAGTGGATGAGGGATTTGGCTCTGGGTTCTTCACCAGGAAACAAGCCGGCTGAGGCTGAGGCTGAGGGGTTCCCTCCCAGCCAGCCAAGGCAGGAACCAGCTCCGGGGCTGCCCCACTGCAACATTAAAGAAGGGCACCCTGAGGAGTCCTGGGTGGTGTGAGCATGAAAGCCCCATGCCTGTTGCTGGGGAAGAACTGTCTCTGCTGGAGGGGGATACGCAAAGGTGCCCAAGCCGGGGCTCCCTTTCTCCTCAGGGGTCTGGATTGAGGGTCAGCCTCCCCAGCAGAATGTCTGGAGGAGGGGAAGTGAAGGGGGGCAGCCTCAGAGGATTGGCCTGGACTCCTGGCAGGGAGAGCAGCTGCAGCTGATGGGGAGGGAGGCCTGGGCGTTGCCCCTTGTCCGGCAGGCTTGGCTCCTGCTTCCCTGGAAGGAGGTACTATTTTTGCAACCACCTGATGCCCATGGCCTGGTCCAGCCAGGGGCCTGATGGGAGTGGTCTTGCCCCATCACTGAGGGCACTCGCAGCCGCCTCCTTTGGGCAGCCCCCTGGTCCAGGCCAGGAGAGGTGGGGCTGCTGCAGGACCTTAGAGGCTCCCCCAAGCCAGAGCCCCCTCCCCAGTTTGGGCAGCTGCTCCTGCAGGCACCCTGTCTTGTTAGGCTGTCAGTCCCTGAAGGGGTTGGGGAGACCTAATTGAATGTAACTAATTATTCACCCAGTAAATGCTCTGCTTAAATGGGATTGTGAGGGACAGAATTACTCATTCCAAGAAGGGGAACGGCAGAGAGAAAACAAATAGAGGGGGATTGCAGTACAGCAGCTCCGGAGCTCCCTGGAATACCAATTACTGAATAAAGGGATTGGATAAATCTTTGTGGCGTGAATGAACTGTACAGTCACTTACTTCTGTCCGGCTGTTGTTTGCAAACGGTGAGAAATTATTTCTGCTCACCTGGCTCAGCAGCCCTGCCCTCCTCCGACAGCGTTTTCCCAACCTCAGGCTGGAGTTCGGGACTTGCTTGGAAACAAGGGGGAGGGAGCGAGCGGGGTGTGCTCCAGGCAGGGCCCCCTGCCCTCCCCCTTGCCTTCTCGCCCGGCCAGGTAGGCCTCAGCAGGCAAAGAGGAGCTGCCATCCCCCGATGAACCGGATGTGTCCTTTCTGCCAGCATGGCTGGGCTTCCGGGGAAGCCCAGGAGGGCCCTGGCACTGTTACTCTGGCTTCTCCCCACAGAGCCCGGGGCAGCGCCACTGCATGCGATGGCTTTCGGCCGAGGCTGGCCCTCGCTGACCCACATCCACATCGGAAGGACAC